CTGGCTTGCTTAGTCAGAGAACTCTTCTTTGTTTCTCTTTCTTTTTGAATGCTTTTGGAGAGACTCTCAATATCTTCCCAATTATTAATGGAGCCAAAATTTTCCCCTAAAAACGAACCAGCCGTGGAATGTCTTTCTGAGTATTGCATGGTCACCAATTTGCCAATGTGTTTTGTGTTCTAAACATGCAGCTGACATTAAGCAATCCACAGTCCTGAGCTGCAGATAAGCTTTAATGTCTTTAACAGTTCTACATTTTTGTACTTTTATTTATAAAAAAGATACAGGTTTTCATACTGTTGCTCATTGATGTCAGTAATAGGAAGGTAAGTATTAAAGGTCAGTGGGAAGGAAGGTTACAACTTTGAAGTCGGAATCTGTAGCAATTCAAACGTAGGTATGTTTAAACATAAATTTTGTTTATATCAGCCCATTAGAAGAGTGAAGCTAAGTACATTGAACTAATTTGAGTAAGAACTTATATTCTTTATTTTCCTTACTGCATATCTGTGCAACGTACTATAGCCTAAACCAAAAAATTGATGTAGATTCTTTTGGTCAGTACTGTCACATGCCTTGAAAAGCTGGAAGCTACAGCCAACCAAGATTAGACGAAATAACAAAACTATTGAGTTGACAGAGGTAGTGGATGAGAAGTAGTAAGAGGAATTAGATGAAGCCACATAGTTCAGTGATTACAGAGCGCAGGCTTGAATTCAGCACATCTGGATTCTTAGTTGCTCTTTCCATTTAATCCTCAGTGAAATGATTTTTTAGTGAGAAGATATGGGATGACTTACTAGCCTTTTTTAAACACTTACAGGAAAGAAATTTGTGGGCTGGCCATTATGGGCCTCAATAAATGAGTGTTAGTCTAATTCATAGGCTATTCATATGTGCCATGAGCCAAGGTTATGCATGCGGACGGCTGATTCAGATCAGGTGAATCAACTGCAAGCAACTATCAAGGTGCTACAACCAAGCTAGTTCTGCTCTTCCTCTTGAACCTTTGGAGTTCGAATAGAGAAAAGCCCCCCGGGGTAGGGAAATGGAGAGACTGGATAAGGGAGGGGCTGGTATTGCAAGGCAGTCCCACCTGGGCACCTTCAACTGAGGCATGAAATTGGATGGAAAACACTTGGCACTGGTTCTTCCCTTTCTGTTATGTAGGGTTGCCACTCTTACTCTCTCCCTCCATCTCTACTTCCCTCTCCTCCATTAGATATATGATAGCCCTAGGAGGTGACTGTATATGTGAATGATAACAAGAAACTAAACTGGACGTGATAGGGTGAAAATAAGGTGCAGGCAAATCAGACGGAGTACTTAACAGAAAATGTTCCCTGTGAGGTTTCCAGGAGGTTTTTTTCAGTGGAAGTCATGAAAATCAATTTTCTGCTTAAACTGAAAAAAAATTGCTAGGTGTATAAGGGAAGACTTTCAGTATTTCAGCTCTTGCAAAAAAAGGCAAGATTTTTATTAAAGGTATTCAGAACTGTTTAGATAAACTGGGATTTTTTTAAAATAAAAATGAGTGCCCGGTCTTTAATATTGTATCTGGCCAAAAGTGTTACAAAGAGATCTTTGCCAATCTCTTGTCCATTAACTAGGTAACTAAATGGAACCCTTCAGTATTTTCAAAATCTAGCCTGTAATATGAATACTGATTCTTTGCAGACTTGAGCCTGTGAGGTATAAAAAGTTGCCCTGCCTCCCCCCTCACGCGTTTTCTGTGTTGCTATCCACAATTATATTTTGTAATTGCAGAGAGAACAGTGTGTATAACAGGCTATGTGTAGTTAGTACGTGTTCATTTTATTAATTAAAGTTTGGTAGGTCCATAAGTTATTAAAGAATTCTGTGGCCAGGGTATTGTCATATCATAGAGGAAAAACTAGTAGTTAGCCCTTTTGATATCTCTGTTCCCAGATCTGTCTCTTCCAATTTTGTTGCTTTCTCTGCTCAAACTAATCAAACAAAATGATGCTATCCAAGCAGTTCACAGTAGTTCTGAGAACCACCAGCATGACAAACCTGCCTTCCTCTGTTGCAGTCAAATTGCCCTGTTCAAAAGTCAGGTGTAGGTTGTAATGATATCTTACATTGATGTAGGTGGTGGTTAATCATTTGAATAGTATCGTAGATCTAGGATGTACATTTCTTGATCCCAGAAAGCAGCTTCTCTTCTTTCTAGTTTCTAGAACGTGAAGAAATTGAGAGGACAGAGGAGAATCAAAGATAATGAAGAAAAGAGTAAGTGTGGGTGTCAGGATTTAAATGGATATTGCTTGAGGTTCGGAGTCCTGTCAGAGGACTTACCAGCTACCTGCACAGGAGATTGTAGTTGTCCTAAATGTGGCTCTGTAGATTAAAAGGATTTGAGATTTATACGTAGGATTTTGATTGAATTAACGAATCATTTATGGATGCTGTGCTGTGAACATATGTATGTGTACAACTACAGTTAACCTTTAATGTTAACGTGCTACTTTTAGAAAAATTTTTTGACGGGCAAGGGGACAAGTTGATTATGCAGAGTCAAATGGATTTGAGTCTAAATTCCCAGACTTTAAACGTTACAGCCTATAGGCTGCTGGCTCTAGGGACTGGAATCCATAGTGCAATATTTGTAGAGATAAAGAGGAAGTACGGCGCTATGCACCAGCGATTGTGGCGTTGCCTCAGAAAGGCCAGACCTAGATCTCTCTCTGCTTAACCTATGGTTTATGCTTTATGTCTTTTAGGAGCCATTCCCTCTTGTGTGTTTTTTTTTTTTTTTTAAATCTGTGTCTGGTAATCTAAAATACCTTTCTGCTGGGTGACAGCTGCTAAGGAACTTGTGATGGGCTCGGGTGACTGTGGTATCCTTCTAGAAGGATGGAGGTGGGGGTATAAATTAGCCTGAAAAGCGGATAAATAACCTGTTTCCCATACCATACTTAATCACTGGTGTGTTGCATCAAAAGGAAAGCATGTCCTTTCATGTTGGCCTTGCTTTTAAAAAAGGTGTCTCTAAGACTGGTCTGTTTTTTCAGAGCTGTATCCTCTTAGTAGGTATTGGGCATATTTTGAACAGGCCTGCTGAACCGGTTGTCAGATAGAGCAATGCCCGCTTCTCAGGCTGCCTTAGCCAGGGAGAAAGAACTGAGAGAGGATATTCCAGGCTGCGGGAACTTGATTGCCTGAAGGATGGCCTGTAGCTTGGCCTCTGAATTTAGGGGCCAAAACTTTGCTCACTGAAGGCGTGTAGGCAAATAGATTTGTGGCTCCCTCCCTTGAGATTTGTATCTAGATAGAAATTCGAGTCTCCGTTAATCCAAATGTGCTATTTAAACTTTTAGTGAAAGATGAATGTTTTTATTTCCTATCTAATAAATCCCTCTCAGAGCAGAGAAATTCAGAGCTTTTTTAGTGCTCATAGCTGCATAATGTATCTTTTTAAAACAAATACAAGATGGGGTAGTGTATATGTGAAAGAATTATTTGGAACAGAAAGCTGTAGCGTATTGCACCCAGCTTAAAGTCTTTGCATGCTATGAACTTCAATTTGAAAAATAGAAACATTCAAATTTAGTGAGTTTGACTCTCTTGAGTGAACATCTATTATATTTATTTGTGAAGAATACTTGTGTTTTAGAGAACAAACTAAGGATTAAGCAGTTGTATTTTTACCTTTTTTTGTTTCAACAAGTTGTATCAGCATCTTTGAAGGCAAATGGCTCTATTGCTGTGCTGATTTACTAGTCTGAACTGTTGGATTGTGCTCTGTGAGTTGTTTGGATGTAGTTGCTTTATTGTCAGCTGCCTTTGGCAGTCTGCTAACCAGCCACGTGACAGTCGGTGAAAAATTAAGAATCATCAGAGCTTGCTTGAAAAAACATGAGTTATTGGTTGATTTAGTAAGAATATTAACTGGATGACTTAAGAAAATTAATCGTCAATCTTTCTCCCATCTGCCCCTTCTCCCCAACTTTTTTTTTTTTTTTTTTTGGAATTAGTTGCAGAGACTTTCTTGGCAAAGATCATGGGGAGTCTTCACATTTCTAGGGAGCAGCACTTCAAAAAGATTGCAAGAATAGTATAGGTAAAGGTTAGCTTCTGCTGCTTGATATGTGCTGGGCAGGTATGGACAAATATGTGAAAAGATATTAAGCGAAGGTTGTATGTAAATGGCCGCCAACTGCATGAGAGAAGAAGCCCCTGATACCTGCCCTAAGTTTGTGAAAATACACCGCAGAAGGAAACCGCTAGTGACACACATGTTAGGACTCCTGCGGGGTTCATGGAGCTGGGCTGTGCTTGCAGAGATTCCCTGTGTGGGAAGAATCGTGGAAGTAAGAGATGACTGGGATTACGCTCATTAGGGGAGATTTAGAGCATTATATATAATGTGATGAGCTATAAGACAACATACATGTAATAAACAGTTTATTGTAATTTGGCTAATGGTCACAGAAGTGAACCTGGCAATGTTAGATAAGACTACTTGTGTTCTACTTTACCTTAAATATTACAGTTTTAAGAAATTGAATTGTAAATGTTTGAAAGATTTTTACTTTTAAACACAGCAAGTGTCTTCATTGCTGCTGTCAATTCGCCTGGGAATGAAACAGTAATATTTTAGACTCTTTTGCAGTTATTTCATTTTACACATAGTTTTGTTAAGTTTAGTCCAGACTTATTTTTCCACTATTTCTCATTCCGCTGTGCTTTATACCATGTTTTGGCATTGGGAAAAGAGGCAATATATCTGTTTCTTCTCACCATATTCTGAGCACCCTTTGCTCACTTTTGGGTTTGAGACTTGCTTACATTAACGATTTTGTCTATAGGGAAGATCAGGCAGAAGGTATTGAGACTCTCTGTAGAACTTCCACTAAAATGCAGCTTTCTAGCAAACATTTTCAAAATCGCTGTGCCAGGTTCTGTAAGCTTCCTTGTAGGAGGTTTTTACGTACCTGAAGCTGTTAAGACTATAGCTTCTAGCAGAAGTTATACTTTATAAGAGGTGATTTTCTTTTATTTGCTTTAGTTAAAACTTTAAGGGATCATGCAATTTCTGTTGAGCATAGCACCGAGAAAAAACCTTCATTAATTTTCCCCCTTTTTTTTTCTTTTTTTTCTTTTTTTTTCTTTAAGGTTTGTGTTAGACAGGAAGCAGCAAAGTTAGTTTCCTGTGTGTCGGTCCTAGCAAAATGACAGCTTCAGCAGGGATGCTAGTTTTCAAAAATGAACCTAAACTCTCACGGGGTTGGTACATATGCGATCGTGCCTTTGTTGACAGTCTGCATATTGTAAGCACTAACTTTTCAAAGTTGCATAAAGAAACTGCTGATCAGTGGCATCTTTGTATACAAATATTCCCTCTTAAAGAGTAGTGGAAAGATCAGTTTAGCAGCCAGGAAAAATAAAGCTTTCCTCTCATTTTTCAGAAGTTCAGAAAGCTGTGGGTTGATAGTTGCAGACTTTATTTTCTTACCTTTAACTTGTGCCTTTCAAAGTTCAGTGACTTTGGAGAGCAATAAAACTACTATGTTAATTCCATATCTAGTAAAGTTTAAAAGTGACTTAAAGGGACACACAAAAGCCACTGAACATCTGAAACAGTGAGCTGCTAATTGCATTTGCATATGCAACAGCCTTTGGACATGAACTCTTATATTAGCTTATTTATAGTAAATATTAATGCTGGAGTAGAATCTTTCTTCATTACAGTGTTGACAGCTTTCCCCCATTGTTTCTCAAGTTTCCTGTAGTCTTTACTCCATGTTTTCTTGATAAAAGCATTAAGATCCATTAATATGGGATGTTGTTACAGTAGTATGAGCAATACATGGGTTATTACCTTGTCTGAAAATATATACCTGAAAATATCTATATATATATATCTATATCTATCTATCTATCTATCTATATATATTCTTTTACCTGAAGGTAAAGAATAAAGCATTCTTCCTTGGGACTTGGGAATATTTGTTTGAGAAAGTATGTTTGCTTAATTGTACTTTTGCTGTCACAGCGATAAGCTAGCTAGGGCCAGCTGACTTGTGTTGCATTACCCTGAGGCTTTTCCCTTATAACGTTTCAAAAGTTTATTGCACGCTGCCGTATGTAGTGTGTCAGACCCACATGCAGAAGTGTATCATGTATTTAAAAAAAAAAAAATGAGTCCTGTGGCATCCATGTTTAAAAATATGTTATACAATGTTCCTGTTACTTACTACAAATATGTTAGGATGAAGACAAGATCAGTGGTTGTCAATATTAATTAACATAGAGGAAAATTTCAGTTATTATGTATTTTTCATGCCGTATAAGCCCAGAGCGCTTCAGGTTCTTAGCAACTGTATGTCAGAGAATCTCCAAACCTCACTGAAGAGAATTGGGAAATTCCGTGCTTTAAAAAAAATTGCATAAAATTGTTGGAAGGAGGGGAATTATAAGGAGATGTTGTTGTCTAATACAGTTTTTTGTCTGTCTGTTTCTTTTTAATCATCTCATGTAGCAATGGGACAAGAAGCTGGCAAACCTGCCTGGCCCAAACCAGCAGGAGGCTATCAAACTATTACGGGTAGAAGATATGGAAGAAGACATGCTTATGTCAGTTTTAGACCATCTTTGACCAGCCAAGACAGAAATGACCTCCACAGCGGAGAATGTGAAGGATTAGAACTGGACGATGTTCAGAAAGAGAAGTCTTTGTGTATGTGCATATCTTCGTGTTATGTGCCATATAATTGCAAACTGAGATGCTTGGTGGTGGGAGGTGCATAGAAAATGGTATAGAAGGGAAGACAGAACAGTCACATAAGTTACTGTGTGCAAACTGCGTTTCAGATGGTTTCATAAAATGAAACTCAACATGAAGGCAAATTAAAGTAGTAACTATTTTAGGCTGTTTAATTTTGCTTAAAGAAGTATATTCCTGAAAGAGTTAATGCCTCCTAACCAACTAGATAATTTTAACATTGTAGAATTCTTTGTAAGTTGTCTGCAAATCAAGTGATTCTTTCATAATCACATTTGGAAGAAAATACCTATTTGAACAGAACTAGGCTACTAAGTATTTTACATATCGTGGACCAGGTTTTTCTCTGAGGTACCTTTGTTGACCTTAGTATAGCTAGAGCAGGAATTACTTTAATCCTGTATAACCTCTTAAAGATTCTCTCTCTTTGGTTTGTACCTCTTGGACCGTTTCCCTGTTTTTTTGTGAATGTTGAACATTAACATTTAATTTCAACTGTCTTTTGGGACTTCAGCTTTCAAAGAATGATTTCCTACAGAGGTACAAAATGGCCTATTGGATTATAAACAGTCCAATCTCTTCGTATGAGGTGATTTTCTATTAAAAAGTAATTGTTTATTGATATAGCTTCAGATGTTCCAAAGTAACGTTTTTTTCTCCTTCTCCTATAAACTATTTTGTTACTGCTTTTTCCTTTTTCCTTCTTTTTTGATAATAACGTGGTGTAAATTTAACTTTCTCATATACCATTGTTCTTGGAGACTATTATGTGATGTAGAGCCTTTCTGGGTGGTTTGGTTTCCATTGGTAACTTGAATGTTTTTGTGGTTATCTATGCTTCATATATTTACTACATTTGTGTCTTAGTTAAAGATATGTTACCTGTAAATTGGTGCTTACCCTTGTACAGATTTTCCTATGGTCTCCCTCTGATGCTACCACCATTTTCATGTCAGTAAATCAGAGCTGAGCATACTGTTATTTTAGGGAGTCATAACAAATATACAGGTTAGAGACTGTTGTCTCCTTGTTCTGTAGTGGGGTGGTTTTGTATGTAAAGTGTAAGAGAGTGTTGATTTGTTTTCTATATTAGGTCTGATAACAGGATGCCTCTCTCTTCATGTTTAGTCTCTTTTTTTTTTTTTTGCATCACAGCTGTCCAGATTTTGAGAAATGTTTTTGATTGATTATTCCCCTTCCCTCGACTAGCTTACTGTTCCCCCCTCCCGTCAAGTTGATCCTTGTCTTCCACTGGGTGGGTACTGACCAAATTGTTCTGTATGTTTCCCTCCAAATTGACCTAACACCTTTTATACATGTAAGCAACCACAGAACATAGGTAGAAGAAACTTCATCTCAACGTTTTATCAGATAAAGTGTTTGTAATGTTACAGTACTGTCTCCTACAAGCCAGATCCAAGTGCTGAAAGGCACAGCTTATATTTTTTTATTTATGAAGTTCAGTGCCATCAGTTTACCAAGCTAGACATGGATTAGCCGTTTAGATGAGAGTAAAATCTGAATTTGAAGCAAATGTTTGATCTGCAGTAGTTATAAGTATCTGTGTAGCAGCTGTCAGAGTCCTGATGTAAATGTCCTCCGTGCAACCACTGCTTTCCAGATGTACTTGAAGAATCTGTCTTGGATGTTCACTTAGCAAGCTGTTGGGGTTTTTTGTGTGGTGGTGTTTTTTAAACCTGGAACATTCATGTTGTATGGTTCCCTACCTCTGACTGTTCTTTAAAGTGTCTGTTATGGAATGTCTTCATTTAACCATGCATGTCTCAATTTTTCTCTGCTCAGAACTTTTTTTCTCTTGTGATTGAAAGTTTCCCAAATGTCTTAATATCAGCCTACAATTTATAACTACTTGCATGAAGTTATGCAAGCCCTTGTGTTTTCAGAAACGGTTTGAATGTACATTGCTTAGGAGTTTACAGGTGACTTGCAGTAAGCATTAATTTTGCGCAAGGTATACATTTTAAACTTTAGCTCTTGTTGCTGGGTTTGATGTTTATTGTCCCTTTATGCAAGAGGTTCAACTGTAAAATAAGCAAACTGAATTTACAGTGATTGTAACTTGCAACTGTAAATTCTACATCCATCTCTGCTATTATTGTCTCCTTATAAGGAGTCGCATTCATAGCGACACGTACAAAATATAGTGCTATTAGTATGTAATTTATAGTATCAATAAATGGCTTTATCTGACTGTGGCAGGAGGCACAGTTCAGCCAGTTAATGAATGGGTAGTCTGAATTTTATGTTATGGAAAGAAATGTTGCAGCTTTTTAAATCTTCTAGCGTTTTTTTCAAGTTTCCTGTTGTCGTCTTAGAATTCCTTTTCACGTAAACAACTTAAAGATGCTGCTCATGAACATGTTCCTTCTTTAATATATCTTGCTACTGCTATCACAGGCTGAGCTGAATCATTTAATCTGTCTGTATGGGCTTAGTTTATAAAAATGAAAACATAAATATATTAGCAAAGAATCAGTGCATCTCTGCCAAATGTTTCTCTTTATCAAATTGCACTGCAGTCCCAATAAAATACCCTTTTTTCAGGAGCTGATGTTGTAAGTGAGAAAATTGCTATTATGTTTGATTATTCCAATGTATTCTTTCTTACAACTTTCTGTAAAGGTTCCAGTCCATTGGTTCAAGTTTGTTCTGGTTTATCGGATGAGCCTTTGTTAGAAAATGTTGGAACTGGAGCACCTGTTTGTCAAACTGTGTCGAGCCAAACTTTTGAGACGAACGCTTCACCGTTTTCTCTAGTCTCTTACAGTCTGGAAGGCAACCAAATCTCAGGGAGCATTATGAATCCTGATAAAATTTCTGAGGACCTTGCAGAATATGCTTCTGGAGACTGTAATGATTTGAATGGCCAGAATGGAATTGCTTTTGTAAACATTGACTCTTATGAGCCAGATAGCAGTGATGGAGAGGATGATGATGGCCAAGGTAATCTTTCCTTGGTGAAGGAAGAAGCAGGTGTATTTCAGGAAACGCTAGATAACATGCTTTCTGAGTTAGAAAAGGGCGTAGAGTCTTTTTCTGAGTTACAGTCCCGGTTATCCAGTCTTAACCACAGCATTTCTAGGGAACGTTGTGAAGAAGTGGGACCAGTGCCTTTAATAAGATATTCTAACATAGATTCAGACTTGGCCCATCAAAACAACAGGACACTTAAAAAATCTGCTGAAGATCAAGCTATACTGAAAAGTAACTTGAGTAGTGCTAGTTGTGAAACACAACAGACAAAAAATATAGTTGATGTTGGAATCAGGACCCCTATTAGTAATGAGTTAAATGTCAGTGATGGAAAGACTGACCAAGGGAATTCACCTGAACCAGTAGTGAGACCCAAAATTAGAAAACAAAATCCTACAAGCCAGTTGGATAGAAAGAAGCTTCTCCCTAGTGATGATGAAGAGAAGGGCGGTTCTAGGAGGCGAAGTGAAATTTCTGAAGTCCAGCATGGGCATGCAGAGTGCGCCTTGAGGAATGGCAAAGAAAAAGTGAGTTCCAGTATGTTCTTTGACCCAAGAGACTACGAAGGTACTCAGAAGAACACAAAAATAGACCTAAAGAAAAATGCAAATGGTCAAGAAAGAAAAACTGTGTTAGATGATAACACTTTCTGGGATGAGTTTGAAGACTGCAGCAGACGCTTCTCAATGTCCCACAAAGATGAAGACAGGTAAGATTTGACTTTTTTTGTCTGTGTGTTTTATCTGTATCACACATTCTATGTATAAAATAAAATAAAATAATCTGAGTAATTTGTTGGCAAATGGTATGGGACTTGGTAAAAAATTAAGCAATTTCAGAATCTGATCATATAACAAGATGCCAGCTTTTCCTCTCTATTCTTCTCGTTCATCCCTCCCCAAGTCAATTCAAAGAAATTGTACTTTACATTCTTCTGATCTGCTGTCATGATTTTGATGTCTCTCCTCTCTGTACAAAACCACTGAAATTTGGTTCATAGGAAACGGGTAAGGGAAGAACTGGTTTGTTGCTGGAATGCTGATTGTTAATACTTCCATGTAGATGTAATGTTGCTGTCCTGTAGTGTTACTGTATACAGGTGTAGTCATATGAGCATACTGCATTGTCATCATGAACCTTAGCTTTCACTCTGGAGTCTGTTTTGTGTGATGCAACACTCTACTAGTTAATATACAGCATCTGATTTTCAAGAAAATTCATTATAGAAAAATATCTTGGCCCATGAGTGAAACTTTAAAATATATTTATGTGGAAATATTTATGTCCGATTTCACTGCCTTAGACATTTTAATGAGCATTTTTTTAAAAAAGCAGGAAATCATGGAAGTATTTTCTGAAGCTAGACAAAAATGTTGGTATAATACCTGAGGGGAGAGGAAAAAGTAAGTGTTTTCAGGCGGCCATTTGTTGCAAGGCTTTTTTCACTATGTTATTTGCAAATGTTACGTTAGTAGAATACTTACGGTCTGTAATGCTTCCGAGCTGAGTGTGCCAAAGCAGTTTTGTAAAAAATACAGCGCAAACCTAATATTCTGGGAGTCTGCTACCCAGTTGCTAAAAAAAGCTCTCATTTTGTTTGAGGTTAGAGCACACTAATACTCTTTAGGATTTTCATTTAATTTTCATTGAGAGGATGCAGGAGAGAGGGAGAACTTGCTCAGCCTGATGTTTGGCACATTGCAGGTTTTCCTCAAGAGCTATTATTTTTCAGAATTTCTTATCCGTTCTCAATATTATGCATGACAGCCTACATAAATTCTTGCCTCCAGACTTTGGAAAAGAAATTATTCTTCCTCATCATTTCTGCAGAATAATCTGATGGGATTACCTATAATCCTGTTTTTAATGAAAACACCTTAGAATAGCAGATGTTTCCAAAGTAGCTATGAATGAAAACAGTTTCAGATCTACAGGCTCTGGCTATAGCGTGGGTCCCTGGGGCAGCATTCAGGCTCCTCCTGTTTTGGGCTCTTTATCTGAAAGATAAACTAATTTGTATGAACCTTATGTTGATGAACACTTTTGTTCACGTGCTGGTTAAGTGCTTGTCAGTGAGAGTTAGGGTTTTATAACTGAGCTGTTCTAAGAGAAAAATTATTTTTTAACTTTCTGTTAATATGTGGCAAATGCAGTAGTGTTTGAATTTAGTTTGAGTTTCTGCAATTTTTCTTGTCTCTTCCTTTCATCATCTTTGGTTCTGTTCCCACTGCATTCTTTACAGAACTCATCTTCTGGATGTCAGTGTACTTTTTTTTTTTTTTTTTTGCCAGTATGCTTCACCTGCTTAGATTGTTTCCACTGCTTTTGTGGAGTGTACAGCATGAAAATTAATCTGCATAAAATCTTGTCATTAAAATATTGCAGAGTCCCAATTATGGGAGAACAAAATGGGTTTGTAGACTTTTCTTATTATTAAAGATGTAAGTGGACTTTACAAGAATCCTTTCCTTCTTCATAGTCTTTGCTTTTAAAAAATTTTTATTACTGTATAACTTACTTTTTCCACTGAAGTGCTACTGCCAGAAGTTTAAAATACAGTGGAGGAAATATACTATAGTAACCAGAGCATTGGCTCCCATGAAGTGAAGTGATGGATTGTTGTTGAACAATAAAAAAGAGAAACATAGCTTACACATCTGAAAGTGACTGTTCTTCATGATAGGAATTAATGAACCACTAAACAGGAAACATTAAGTGTTCATCAGCTGCAGATTTAACTTTAAAAATGAAATTCATGTTTTAAGTCTTGAAAAGATTTATCCTAGTGAAGTAAATTGTCAATGTTTACTCTATAAAAGGAACTAACATATGCTTTTCTGCTCTCAAAAGGTAAAGTTGTATGTTTGAATGTATAGTCATTATTTGCACATTTAAAAAAAAAAAAACTATATAGCTGCATAAAGAACAGAATTGGCATAGGTGTCATATGCTGCATCCTGTGACTCTGCTTGCTCCTGTTTCCCACCCAGAGAAAAGTTCAGTTTGCCGGTTGCTGCAGCATGGACCTTCACCACACGTTTTTTGCTTTGAAGAAATGCCCAGCTTTTATGATGCTAGCATGGAATAAGAAGTTGCATGAAAAGTCTTTTAAGGCTGTTAGAACCACGTTTGCTCTGAGGTGGTGGGGTCGTGGTTGCTCCCTAGTGTGGGGCGATGGGATGAGGAGCACATCAATTATTGCATAATCTAGTGCTAAATGGAAGGAGCTAAGCACAGGCCAAGTCGAGTGGGGAGGGACTGTTCCCAGAAAATCCACGTGCAGATGCTAAGGTAATATGGTGCGCTTTTGGCAAGCGAGAACTCTGTAACTCGCTAACTGTTGCATAAAGTTCTGCATCTCTGCAGAACTGGACCCCCTTAAATCCTACATTTTGAAATATATATCTTCAGTGTTCTTGCTTGTATGGTGTTAATCACTCAAGGCATATCCTCTTTTCTGTTTTGAATCGTGCTATGTATATAAACTTTATTACCAGAGCTTTAAAGGCAGAATATTGGAACAAATTTGACTATCAGCATAAGAGTTTTATGATTTCTAATGCAGATTTTAATATAAATAAGTGGACTGTAAGATAGGGAAAACTAAAATGAGAGATGTGAGTCTCAAAGCAAATCTTACAGCATATTTGAATAGCCTTTAAAAAATAATTTTAAAAAAAGTTCTAAAATGGTAGTAATTCAGCTTTAGCTGGTGAAATACAGGATGCTTTGGGTTGCATATATGCTAGGCAGTACTGGCTGTCTCATCTATTAAAATATCAAAAGTTCTTTTTTAATGGGTATTATTTCTCTTGTAAAGTAATCCTTTTGAAATGACCCAAGGACAATGAATATTCTTATTTCCGTCACCTTCCCTAGTCCTCAAAATTGTAAGAGAAAAATATATTCCTGCTTCAAATTAAAATATTTCCATATAATCTTTGTCCTTGATCTTCTTTTTTCTTATAAAACTAGAAGTGTGTAATATGCAGTTTTTCAAAAAGTAAATCATTAAACAGCAAGTTCTATTGGCATGTGCTTGTAATACTACACAGGAGGAGAGATTTTTCTTTGAAGTGAGTTTGAAGGTGGGGAGATGAGAACATTGATGCACGCTGACTTATTGGGTTTACTAGATTAAGAATTCTGAGCTGCAGGCATCCTGGATTGCTGGGTTATTATTAAGATGTGCTCTATCAAGCACATTTTCTGTTCACTTATCCATTATGTTTTCCTGTAACTTTGCTGAAGGGACATAGCTGGTTGACTCTACTTTGATTTCAGTAGATGTCTTCTGTCACTCCTAATATCGAATGAGCCTTTTAAGTGCATTACCAAAAGTAGCAATCAATAAGCTTGTCCTTCTTCTGGGGATTCTGCTAGCATCACTGTTGTTTTAAAGCTACCTACAGTTTATTACTTACTGCTCTCTTCTACATGATAGTGGAGCTGAAAAATCAAATTCTTCCTGAAAACCCTTCTGCTATTCGTCTTTTTGGGCTAGTGAATTAAGTGATTTTTCCAGTAATTCATCAGTTGTATCTTTGTATGATTTTAAAAAATTGACTTTGTATATGGCTTAGAAGTTATCAGGGCTCTTGTTTACAAAGTTTTGTTCGTTCAAGAGGGAAGGCCAAAATTTGCCATGTTTGTCAAGCACTTCTTGGGATCACTGCTGCTATTTTCTCTTTGCAGGGTGCTGGGAGAAAGAGGTGTGTATAGTTGGTCTTGGCTTGTACTCCTGAGATGTTTTATGTACTCTGCAAGTGTGGAGGGAGGAGAGCAAAACCCTGTTGCTAAGTAGGATGGGCATGACTCTTTTTTAAGAATGGATTTTGAATCAACTCTTTATTACATACTTACCCTGTAATCAATTTATGATTAGTAAAAAATGAATTTATCCTAGTTGTACTGAGAGCAATGTTCATAGAAGAGTATCAAATCACGTGTTTTCTTGTGTGTGTGTGCGTGCGTGGTGGTTTTTTTTTTCTTTCTTTTCTTTCCCTCAAAGAAGTGTTTGAATTCAATCTGCATTGCCTTGTCTAAATTGCAGTTCGGAATGCAGTGATGGAGAGTGGTCTGCATCTCTGCCTGCGTATTTTGCTGCTGCAGATAAAGACCAGTCGTCGAGTGACGAGAGCTGGGAGACTCTCCCAGGCAGGGAGGAACATGAACCTGAAGTGCAGAGCAACAGCAGTGGCCTAGAAGAGGAGAACACAGACTTCTGTTTCCAAGGAGGGTATGATTTTATTTCATTAAATAACTTTATATAAAGTAGTAGCAGCAGCACAGTGTCAATGCAACACTGTAGAGAATAATAACACTTCTAAAAATAATTATTATACCAGCAATAATCATTTGCCTACATCAAAACAATCACACTAGTTTCCTATGTTGAGACTAGGAAAAAAAAGGTTATGTCATGCAAACAATGCTGCAATGCTGGCTATTTTATGAAAGAAGTACAACTACTGGGAGAGTGTTGGCATTCTAATAATAAGAAAAAGCAGCAGGTTAATAGACTGGGTATACTTTCAAAGGCAGGATTAGGTATGATATTGTTTACAGACAGGCTAATTGTAAAGAGCTGTCTTTTTTTTTTTTTTTTTTTAACCAAATACATACACTGCTCATGTTCTAATAATGCTTTGTACTCTGTGCAAAGCTATTGTTTTTCTCTTTGCTTCCTTGCTTCTTGTATTCCAGTGAATGGAACTGCTGCTCTTTTTTTATGTACGTATTTCTGCAGCTCTATCAGTGATTACAGTAAACTTGAAGAAGGAATTCTGTGCTGAAAGCTCTTTCCCAGTTTTTCATTATTGCTTTTAATTTATTTTCATTTCATTTTTCCAGTTGTTCATTGTTTTAATTAAAAAAAAAAAAAAAAGCTACCTTTTGTTGCAAGATTTGTATATAGAAGTAGCTAAGGATAAGTTAAAGCTTTTTTGGTTTTTGTTTTTTTTTCCTGAGCATCTAATATAAAACCTGTATTCTTAGTTGGGGTCTTCATTTTGCAACAAATCATGCCTAAATGTTCTGCTCCTTTAACTCTAAGTCAGACGGTATCTAACACCAAGCATTCCAAATCTGTGTCATTATCTTATTCGTATTGCTGTGTCCTTGAGTTTTGAAGAATTAGCATGGCTTTATGAAAACACTGTTTAAAAACTTATCTACTTGAGAAAAACAGCAGGGGCGCTGTCCACTTTTAAGCATTCTTTGGTTTGAACAGGCTGCAAATATATCTATTTCTGACATGGTCCCGTTTATTTGCCCTCCATTACGGAAAGTGGGTCTCAGCCCTGTGGTTCGAAACATCCAGGTGACTTGTGCTGCTCTAGAAAATCCAGGAATGAAAAGAATCCTTTTTCTCATGTATGTAGCTTCTCTTACTAATCATGTCTCTTTGAACTGCTTTTTTCAGGCTGTCAGGAGAGCCTTTCTTATTAACAGTTTCAAGAACTTGTAGATGATCTTTAGTACCAAAGTTGCTACTCCTGACAAGCATACTGTCCATGGTAAAGGAGTGCAAAGAAAGCTGTTCCCTGTACTGCTGGTCTTGAGCATTAGACGAACACTTTCGCAACACAGTCATGGATGTTGCAAGGTTCTGGATCTGGATGGGTTAGCTGATACCACTAGGAATTTCTTGGTTTTTTACAGCAAATGCTGAGTTGAGAATCTAGGGCTTTGCAGTCTGAGAAACAGGTGCAACCCTTGTAATAATATGTATAGCTTCTGTTGTTTGCATGTATCTGTAAATTCTTCCAAATTTTTAGTTTTAGCTTTTCATTCATTTATTTATTTATTTGAAGGGAACAAACATCTTTGGAGGAAGGAGAGATTCCTTGGCTACAGTACCATGAAGAAATAGAAAGTAGCAGTGATGAGGAAAATGATCCAGTTGGTCATTTTGTGCATCCTGGCTTCTTTATGTTGGATGGCAACAACAACCTGGAGGATGACTCCAGTATGAGTGAAGATCTGGATGTGGAGTGGAGGTATGTCTGCGATGGTTTCCTGTTTTAATTTTGGAGGGTTTTTTAGTTATTTATCATTTTGTTTTTTGTGTTACCTGTCAGGATATCCACGTTCATCTGTATGCACTTGCTTCAAGGGCTGGTAATGCTATGTTTTAAGGTTTAACTTTAAGTGCTGTGTTTCTTCTAACAAGAGAAAAAGGATATGGATTCACTAAGTCAGCCTGTGATCAGAGGAAATATAGGGAGGAATATAGGAACGTTGTCAGAGTATGCAGGGTTGCGACGAGGAAGGCTAAGGCCCCTTTGGAATCAAATCTGGCAAGGAATGTCAAGGACAACAAGAAGGGCTTCTTCAAAATGCATCAGTAGCAAAAGCAAGACTAGGGAAAATGTGGGCCCGCTACTGAATGGGAAAGGGGCCCTGGTAATGAATGATACAAAGAAGGCGGAGTTACTGAATGCCTTCTTTGCTTCAGTCTTTTCTGCTAAGGCCAGTCCTGAGGAATTCCAGACCCTGGAGACAAGAGAGGAAGGCTGGAGAAAGAAAAACTTTCCCTTGGTCGAGGAGGATCCAATTAGAGATCATTTAGGCAAACTTGACACCCACAAATCCTTGGACCCTGATGGGATACACCCACGAGTGCTGAGGGAGCTGGCGGATGTTATCGCTAGGCCACTCTCCGTCATCTTGGAAAGGTCCTGGAGATCAGGAGAGGTGCCTGAGGACTGGGAGAAAACCTGTGTCACGCCAGTCTTCAAAAAGGGCAAGAAGGAGGAGCCAGGAAACTACAGGCCTGTCAGCCTCACCTCCATCCCTGGAAAGGTGATGGAACAGCTCATCCTGGAGGTCCTCACTAAGCATCTGGAGGACAAGAAGGTGATCAGGAGTAGTCAGCATGGATTCACCAAAGGGAAATCATGCTTGACCAATCTGATAGCCTTCT